GGAAGGCAGCCGCCCCGGGCACCGCGGTGCTGCTGGTCACGGCCAACGTGGGCTCGCTCTTCGACGACGTAAGTGCCGCCGCGGGCCGGACCCCGGCCCCGGCCCTGAGCCCGGGGGTCTAGACCCTGAGCCCCGGGACCCGGGACCCCGGCTCCGGCCTGGAGCCCTGGGGTCTAGACCCTGAGCCCCGGCCCTGAGACTCGGGACCCTGAGACCTCAACCCTGAGCCTCAAGCCCTGAGCCCCAGGACCCCAACTTGGACACTGAGCCTTGACACTGAGCCCGGGACCCAAACTCTGACACCGGGGACCCCGGACCCCGACCCTCAGCCTGAGCAGGACCCGGGGATCTGGACCTGGACACTGAGCTCTGGCCCTGAACTCTGGGATCTGGACCCTGAACCCCAGCTCTGACCCTGAACCCCGGACCCGGCCCTGAACTCTGAGCCCCAGGACCCTGGGATCCAGACCGTGATTCCCATCTCTGACCCCTGAGCCCCAGGATCCGGACTGGGATCCTGAACCCCAAACCCCAGGACCTGGACCCTGAACCTTGGTCCTCCAAACCCCAGTACCCCAAACCCTGGGACCCTGAACCCCTGACCACAGTCCCTTGAACCTGGAATCCTAGTCACCCAGTTGCGGGCTGAACCCTGTCCCCAGAGCCCAGTGCCTGAGCCCAAGTCCCTAAACCCCAGTCCTAATCCCTGTCCAAGGTCCCCAAGTCCTGACCCCAGAACCCTAGTCCTAGTCCCCAAACCTGGCCCCAACCCTGGTTCCTGAGTCTTGACCGCAGAACCTAGGACCTGAACCTGGTCCCTAAACCCCAACTCCTAACTTCTGGCCTCTGACTCCCCATCCTCCGTGATCGTGGCCTCTGGCCCTGTCTGCCTGCCTTGCTGTCTGTGGCTGACTAAGCTGCGGAGGTGTAGGCGCCCTCATTTTACCTTGTAACTTAGTATCTCTCTAGTTCTCAAACAAGGGGCCTCTGTTGAAAGCCCTGGAGGACTTGATGTTTCTTGTTTATTAAAGAGAAAGATGCTGAGAAGCTCTTCAAGGCCAGAAAAGGGATGCTGACTGCCCAAGGCCTTTGCCTTCTAGGGCCTCCCACCCAGGCACCCAAGATGGTCCTGGGGAGACCGGGAGCCGAGGCCCTGGCGCTCGGGTCTCCTGAGGCAGGCCAAGGCTGACCTAGTTCGGCATTTCAGCCGTGGTGCCACCCCGCTGTTGGTACTTAAACTGCCAACCCAAATAAAGCAGAATGCGGCTCCAAGTGGCGTGCTTGTGTAAGGCAAAAGTGTGCTGGCACAGATGGAGCCTGTGGTGGCCTCACACTGTCCCCCTTCCCTCCCCAGGAGAGCGGTGGGTGCTGCCGTTCCATGGTGTGGACCACTGATGCAGGCATGACTTAGATTCCAGGGGAAGGTTCTTGCCGAGCCTTCCTCTGCTGGCAGCATCCTGGATGAAGTGTCTCAGTAAGCTAGGTTCATGTGCAGGCCAGGTTTGATTTTGTTAATAAAAGGTAGGCACTATTTTTGTGTTTTTCTTATTTTAACTTCCAGGCGCCTGTGTATTATACTTCCCTGCTGGAGGCTAGCTGCTTTCCCTCTGACTTTGTTACAGACAACTTTATCTAGTTTCATCTTTGATCATTTTCTACAAAAGTGCCCAGTGTGTATGTGTGTCTGTATATTTAGCATTCTCGGCTTTCCAGTAACATGCCATTATAACATGGTTTTGCTCAGATGATTCAGATCCGTTAGCTGTGGCTTCAAAGCCTCAGAAATGTCAGGAAAATTAAGCATGGTGGGGCATTTTGGTCTCAAAGGGAAAAGAATTTTGCTGTGCAAACATTCTTTCCAGTAATCTTTGATTCTGAGTTCTAGCATTCTTGTGTTTCAACTGTATACACGCACTTCTCTCTGTTGACATTAAAATGGATAACTTAATTTTCTTTTGTTTAGCAACATGTTTCTCTGAATTTTCATTTTTCTTAAAGGCTATAGGGAGTTTTGCATTATGTTTATATCTGGAAGGAGCATTTATTTCAGTAAATAGTGCATAGGTTAATTCTGCAAGATGACTTGACGTAAAGGCTAGTGAGAAGCATCTGTCCATAACCCACAGGTTTCTTCTTGTGTGGAGCTCAGGCTCGAGGGGCGGGAGCCACCTCCTGCAGTGGCATGGAAAAGCGGCAGTGGGCGTTAACCAGTCTCACCCATGTTCCTGGGCGCCTTCCTTGGTGGAGATTTGATGCTGTGGTGCTGGTGGGAGAGAAGCCGAGCTGGTGAAAGCAGCGAATTCTTGAGAGAAGGAAATTTTAATTCCTTGGTCTATGGTAGGTTTCAGAAGATCTGCATGGTGACCCTGTTTGTCTTTGCATGACATGTGCCCATGCTGACCAACACACTCTTCAGACGGTGGCGAGGCCTGGGAATGAATTCTTTCTGGCCCAGTTTCATCATCTCAGAAACCAAGCTCCAGTGCGTGGCCAGGGCCTTGGCCTCTTCCTGCAGGGTTATGGATCCGAGGAGGAAGGGTGTCTGAGTTAGAAGCAGACATGCCGTGCTGTGAAGGACACTGTATTCCTTTTGTACACGAGAGATAGACAATACGTTTTTGCCTCTGTAGTTCTGTAGTCTTCCCTTGTTACCTGCATCCATCCGGAGGTGACCACTGTTGGAACTCTGGCTGTAGACTTCAGTCATGGCTAGGCCCTAACATCCTGTGATCCACAGCGCGTCTGGTTTGGCAGGCTGCTCTTTTCTGGTCAGCACTCCTGGCTCCGTCATGTCCCCCAGAATGGCTGGGCCACATTAGTCCCCATGGGGGGTTCCTCACCCTGTGATGTTGCAGACGAGGCGAAGGTGTAAATCTCTACAATACATTGGTTCTCAAACTTTTACTCATTACATTCTTGAAAATTGTGGAGGGCCCCAAGGAGCTCTTGGCTATGTCAACTGTGACTACCAGTGTTTGCCGTATTGGTCGGTAGAAGCTGAGGAAAGTTCACACTGAGAAAGTTGTGTTAGCTGTCAGAACAGTGATGTCATCACACATTGTCCCCTCTGGAAGACTCCACCATTCACTCAGGAGGGTGAGGATGGGAAGGGAGGTCAGTGTGTTGTGTTGTGATGAACACAGTTGTGACCTCGAGAGGCCCTGACCACGGCTCCTGGGCCCTCATTCTGAGGACCTCTGTCCTCGCTGGTGGCCCTTCCCGAACCTGCCCGAGCATCTGCCTGGCTGGGGCCTGGATGTGGCTGGGGTGCCGTGAGGTTTCCGGGTTTGTAGTGGTGTCCAGGTTGCCTGCAGGGAGCCCTCTGGCTGGCTATAATCCCCACTGTATCCTGCTGTCGCTCCCCATTTGCCTGGAAAGGGGTGGCCCGGGCTGCATACCTAATTGTTTTGCTTGAGATGGCTGGATTTTTGACAAGTGAGGTTTCTAGCTTTTGGTTCTTTACGTTTTTACCAGAAGTGAACCGAAAAGGTGAATTCTTGCAGGCTGTGGTGTCAGAGCTGGGTCCCACCCTTACATGGTAAGGCTGTTTCTTGGGAATGAGACTTAGCCAAGCGGTAGGATTCTGAGAGCACAGCTCGCTCTTGGGTGTCTGCCTGTAGGGCCTTTGTCCTGCTGCTTATTCAGAGGTAAATGTCAGTTTTGGGCTGGTTTCCCCTTTTGCTCTGTCAACTCCTGAACAGCCCTCTACCCAGAGATTGCAGAATGGTTGTGCAGGTGGGCTCTGCAGAGGATCATTAGTGATGATTATCGAGGAGCCTGCTGGGCTGCAGGCCTCCGAGGGCCTTTCAGACAGCAGGTGTCCACGAACCCCTCTCCTGGGCCGAGTGGGGTGGGGCAGGGGGCCTTGGGCACTTGTCCCTCTCTCTCCAGCACCAGCAGTTTTACCCTCTCTGCCCTCATTCCTATCCCACCGTGACCCCACGCCCCTCTCCAGCCACTGCAGGCCTTCCTCACTCTCCCACCGCAGCGCTGCATGCAGGGTAGTCTCTGCTGGCTCCCGGTCCTCTTCTCCCCACTTCTGCCCCAGCATCATCACAGGGACTCAGTGGAGTCCACCAGACCGTGGGCTGGAGGCCGGCGATCGCTTCCTGCCCTTCTCACTTGCTCTGTGTGGCTCCTCACGGCGTGGATCCCTCTACTTCTTCAAGGGTCATCATTCACAGGCCATGGACTTCACCCATTTAAAGTGTGCAATCCAGTGGTTTTAAGGGTATTCACAGAATTGTGTAGCTATCACCACAGTCAATTTTAGAACATTTTTTGTACCTGAAAAAGAAGTTCTGTATGTCCTAGCAGTCTGCCCTCATACTCTCCATCTCCCTGAAACCCCCAGCCTCTGGTAATCACCCGTGTACTTTCTGTCTCTAGGGATTTGCCTGTTCTGGACATTTCATATAAGTGGAATCATGTATCTGGCCCTTGCGTCTGGCCTCTTCCACTCGACACGTTTTCAGGTTCACTGTGTAGCGTGTGTCAGTGCTTCACTCCTGTTTATGAGTGAATACTGTTCTGCTGTGTGCACACACCACAGCTTGTTTATCTTTTCATCCATTGATGGACATTTGGGCTGTTTCCACTTCTTGGCTGTTCTGAATGGTGCTGCTCCGATATTCATGTGCAGGTTTTTGTGTGGACATGTGTTTTCACTTCTCCTGGGCACACAAGGAAGGGACTGTGGGGTCTTTGCTGATTCTGTGTTTAACCTTTGAGGAACTGCCAATTATTTCCCACAGGGTCGGCCCCACTTTGCATCGCCACTGGCTGTATTCGAGGGTTCCGATGTCTGCACCCCCTCCTGGCACTCGATGTTATCTTTGTTCAAAGACGTTTTCCTTGGCTGCCTGGACACCTGCCTTTGCTCTCCTTCTCACCCCACCTCCCAGCATCGGCCACCCTTGTCCGGGCTTGCTCACCTCCTGGGAGTGCAGGCCTTTAAGGACCATCTCTATGCGGATGCCCAGCCTGCAGCGCCGTGGGGACCAGCTCCCCTAATTCCACTGTCGCTTGGGAAGCCCAGTGTACATGGCCAGTGCCGCGAAGCGGTGGA